GAAGCATCGGATGAGACTGTGGTGAGTTTGAAGTTTGAAGCTCGATTTATGTTCGTGAAATGTGGAAATTAGAAATTGAAAGTGGTCGATCTCTTGCCTGTTTTTATTCTCTCTGGTTTTTTCTTTTTTGCTTTTTTGTTGCTCTGTTTTTTTTTCGATTGATGTGCATGTATGTGTATGTATATACTGTATTTATATATATATATATAATCTCCATTATTTTTCTATTTTATTAAATGTCTCAGTTAATCAGCAACTTTCTGGGTTTATTTCCAAATGTGCAGCTTTCCCTCTAGTACAAACCAAAATTGTGGACTTCTTCCGAATTCAACGGTCTCCAGAACCAACCCAGAAACCAATCCTGTATTTTAAAAAAAGCCTCAAAATTTGCATATGTTAATGCTTTAGGATGGTAAATTTTCTGGTATATATATAGAAAAACTCAAAATTTGCAATTCTATTCATATTTTGGGATGGTAATTTTTCTGATTTAAAGTAATGAAAACGTTTTTAAAAATTAAACTACTAAACACAATTTCAATTTTTTTTAAAACTGAAAATAATCTCAGAATAAAACTACCAAACGCATTTTCAGAAATGATTTCAAAATGAAAATAAAAACGTTTTCGTTTTCATTTTCATACAAAAAATAAAAACGTTTTGGAACCAATTCCAAACGCCCGTATTTTCTTTTTTTTTTTTTTCAATGTCGTCTTTTTTTTTTTTTTTTTTCCTTTTCTTATTACTTCTATATTGAAAGTTTCGTTGCTCACCCAAAGATTTATTAGCTTCATTAGTCATAATATTTAATACTATAGAGATACATCTTATGTTTATTGATAAAATTTCCGAAACATTTAACGAACCTTTTTTTTTGTTTTCCAATATTAGTATAAATGTTTATATTTGTATTTTAATTTTTTAAAGAGAAAAAAATCAGAAATACCACTCAAAATGGTAAAAGATATTATTTATGTGTACTTTTCTCTTTTTTAAATGTATGAAGTTTAAGAAAAATATATTTTTTGTTCCTTAAAAAAAATTTTATCCCTTAAAAAAATTTATTATTTTAATTTACAATATAATTTTTATTTATGCCTGAAAGGATCCACAAATAAAGGGATATATGAGCTCAATTCAAGCTATTGAGCAACTTGGAAGAGCTTACAAAGATACAAATAATAGTATTTCAAGTGTCTTCTCCCAACTTGAGCGCTCTTTTTTCATCTTTTTGTTTTTTTGTTTTTATTTTAGGAATAACTGAGAAACTGAAATAACAAACATTTAATTTTGGTTATTGAATTAGCTTCTTTAAAAATTACCCAACACTTTATACAAATATATATATATCTTGAATGCAGATAAAAATGCAGTTAGTTTTTATAAAGGGAAATAGTGGTTTTGTCACAATTTTTCTATCTCTATAAGTCAAAAGTTATATCTTTATTATATACTAGCAAAAAAGTTATCATCTTTATTTTAAAATTCCTCATGAGTTTGTTTTTTTTTTCATTTTTTTTTTTTTTTGTGATGGTATTATTTTTCTTAACAAAATATCTTTTGCAGCCTTTAGAAATGTGATATATTCGTGAAACTGTTGATCTTTTAAACTTCATGGTTCATAGTTTCGTCTACACTTGAGTTAATTAAGAGCTCGTTTAGTTGGCTAATTTAAATTTTTAATTCGAGTTGAGATGTGACTTTTTGTGAAAATTTTTTTACTGTAATAAAAAAGTTAGATGTGATTATTTTTTAGAGTTTTTTACTGTAACAAAACTTAAATTTTAAACTCAAATCGGTAAAATAAACGGACCTTAAATTATAAATCCAAAAAAAAAAAATCAAAGAGAGAGAGAAAGGACACCGGATTAGGCTTGTGGAAGGGGACGATTTCTTTGAATCAAGAATTGCCCAAGACCACAAAGAGAGAGCCCACTCAGAAGTAGCCGCGTAAACAATAGTGAATCAAACCAAACAAATTTTCACAAAATTATTTCGCCCCTATTCTTGTGGCCACCACATCCACAGGCACGATCTAAAGAATCTACGCTTTCTTTCCAACTTGCAATGGAAATCCAAGAATCAAACACGTAAGTACCATAAGTGGGCCCCCCTACTTTCTACCCTGGAAATCTCCCGGGCGCTCACCCCATCAGTTTCGCTTCATCGCTTTGATCCTTTCTGTCCAAAGCCAAAAGATCTTGTGCTGTTGACCTACGAATTTACCAAACTGTCCATTCTTTTTCATTTTTCTCCTCTAAGAATAAAAAAAAATACTGTTCATTAACTTAAGTTTGAGTTTAAGAACTTGAGTTGAAGGGGAAACTTAAACTCATATTTTAGTCATAAACTCAAGTTAAAACTCGAGTTAAAACTCAAGTTCAAACTCAAATTTTATAAACGAACATGAACTTGAATAAAGTTGTAACTTTAGTTCAAACTTTTTTTGAGTTTTACTCCAAAAAAAAAACAAGCCCTAAGTTTTATTTTTTTCACAATTCAAGTTTTATTGTCATAGTGTTTTTTTAATAAAAATTCAAATTTACTTTTTATTATAATATTTTTCTTACATACACAACCTAACCTAACCTTTAATTACTTATAGGTCAATTTTTCCGCACTACACTATAAAAGACATAGGTTAAAGGTGTACATAAGACTTAGGTCTCGTTCACCTCGCTGATTCGAGTTTAGAATTTGAGTTTTTCTACAGTAAAAAGCTCTCACAAACAATCACATCTAACTTTTTTGCTATAGTAAAAAACACTCACATAAAGTCACATCTAAACTCGAATCAACGAAGTGAACGGGGCCTTACTCTTGAATAGTAATGTTAGAAAGGTGTAGGAATAAGAAATTAATGGTTTGATAAAAGTGTTGCACCCCTTTCAGCATCGTTGTTACACAAACTTAACAATATGTAACGCTTCTATATGCTACCGAGTAGGACAGTCCATGAAAAAGCATAAACAAATTATCGAAGCTACTTTTACAAAAAGTTTAAAGGAAGCGAATATTATAAATTAAAATTCAGAAGGTATTTTCATGTAATTTTTCCTTATTAAAATGAAATAAAATTAACATTTCAACCTATTTAATTTTTCAAAAGTAAAATCTACTTTTTTTCTAAAGAATTTTTACATAATTTGTATGGAAAATTACTAAAAAAAGTCTATAAAAATGAACTTAAAACCTTAATAGATCGATAAGAAAGGACTCGTCAAAAGTATGAGCACGAAACATGCTTGTGTCCATAGTTGAGTTGGCCACAGACTTATACGAACATGTCATGAAGTCGAGCTAAGTAGCGGAACAAACACTTATGAGAAGAGCATCTTCAATGAATTTGATGCTGGAAATCTAAATAAAAAATTGTGGTTGATTGGATTGTAGATAAACTGGTCTGGGTTTGCTTAAAAATTATGAAGTAACAAAGTTTGAAAGAAAGATAAAGAGACTAAGGGATACATAATTGATCACCACTCTTAGGTTTTGAACTCACCACTTTGGAAATCCACTAAAGACAAGAAATTTAAGGAAATAAGCTGAAAACACATAAATCGTTAGAACAAACTCTCCAAATGCTATATTCAGTTATGAAAAAGGCTAAAAGTCACACCCTTAATTCAGCAACTAACACACATTAATTACAAGTTATAATCAACCAAAAAAATAACACTAATGACTATAAACACTCAGTCATTTACACACCATTACAAAACACAAATACACTTAATCTCAAATTTTAAGGCTAGATGATATGAGTCCATCTTTTGCTAGTGGTAGTTATGAATACCACAAAAGGCTGTTGATTTTCAGCAGTTTCTTGATTGAATGTGTATGAGCTTCTGTCACATTTGGGCTCGTAGTAGGCTTCCACAAGTGCAATTAGTTGGCATCTTCATCAAAATCGCTATAATTGATGTGTCAATTGTAAATTTAGTATTTAAGTATAAAAAATAATGCAATGTTATTTATTGTATTAACTTTGACATATGCTATATTAAATTTGTGATAAATTTGTCACCAAGTGGAACATATGTTAAATTCGGCATTTAATTGTTATTAGCTGAAATGTTTTATTTCTCATTTAATCATTACAATTTTTACATTTTCTAATTATTTTAAAACTAAAAATTTAATTTTACAACTTTCAAAACTTAATGATCATGAGAAAAGTAAATTTTGTATTTTAAATAGTTTTATGCATTATAGTACAAATGAAAATAATATTTCATATCACATTTGTTGATGTCAATACCATTGAATTAATATTTATATTGAGATGGTGTAACATATATAAAGTTAATTAGAGTGGACTATGAACATATGTTTATATATATGTGTAGACATATTTATATATGGATTATGTTTATACACATATTAAAAGTGGAATAAAATAAAAAAAATATATATTGCAACTCGTTAACTCTTGGTATGTGATAGATTTCTACAAGTTTTAGTATGAAAATACTAAAGAAATTATTTTTTAGAATATTTTTACTTTTTGGAAATGAATAAAGGACATTAAGGTTCTGTTCACTTCGCCGATTCGAGTTTAGAATTCAAGTTTTACTACAGTAAAAAGCTCTAAAAAACAATCACATCTAACTTTTTTGCTACAGTAAAAAGCTCTCACATAACATCACATCTTAACTCGAATTAGCGAACTAAACGAGAATCTCTACTTAAATTTGAAGAGAACTTTTTGCTCGTTATTATTATTATTATTATTTTTTTATTGAAAAAAAAAAAAAATATATATATATATATATAGAAGGAAGTATAGATATCTGTGTAGTTAATTCCAAATATGGTTTTAGTTTGGGTAAATATTTTATTACAACAAAAGAAGTGAAAATATATGGGCAGCAGTGTAATTAATTCGAAGAATGAGGGTCCTATTTTTGTAAATATTTATTTTTTATGTTTTATATTTCTAAGCTGACAAATATATATATATATATATTATATATATATATATAAGCCATACCATTGCGAGAGCCCACAGAACAGGTAAATCTCGTGCAATCTTCCCACAAAAGCGTTGAAAGAACAGATACATCGTCTCCTCTCTCTCTAACTCGAAAAGCCTCCATCTCTCCTACTTTCTGTTTCTAGGGTTTCTTTCTGTCCCTTCATCTCGCTCTCCCCAATAGGTACGCTTTGTGAAATCGATATGTAAATTATTGAGTCTTTCGGATTTTAAAATTGATGTTCAATTTTTTCATTCAATTGTTTTAGAATTGTTTTCTTTACATGATTTTCTGTGGGTCTTGCAGAGCTGAATATGGACGCAGCAGCGGCGAGCCTTATGCAATCTCCGTTCAGCAGCTATATGATTTCGAATTCCATTTCCAGATCGGTTAATTTGACTTCTAATCGTACCAGTTTTCCATGTTTCGGTACCAATTTTGGCCTCTCAATGAAGGTGCATAATTTCGCTTTTCGCTTGTTATTTTTGTCTAATTGAACTTTCTTTAGTGAAATTTTAGTAATTAATCTTGCATGGTTGTGAATCTGCTTTATCAATCCGAGTATATTATCTTTGTATTTCGATTTTTTTTCTTGGTCGTAATCTTATCTCTCGTATATTGGTTGCAAGTATTATAATTAACTTTACCTGTATGAGTTTAGTTTATTTATACTGATTTTATACTAATTTTCTTTTGCAAATTATTTTTCGTTTATGTATAGCCTAAAAAAGGGATTATGATATAAAATTTGGAAGCATGAGTAATTTCTCTTGATTTTTAATCACATCTTAATATTGGTGTAAGATTTACATATGAGAAGCTGAGATTTGGCTCTTGCAATTTTATTTGTGAGATTGGAGTTTTATAGTGAGGAGTTACATTTTCCAAGTATTTGCTATGTTTTATTCTCACCATCGAGGATTACCCTTATGTATGGCAGCACAAAACGTCATCTAGATCAAAGCTGGGTCACAAAAGAATTAGTTTTGGAAGTAGGAGGTTCCTGCTAGTTAGAGCGTCGACGTCTTCAGATTCAGGAAGTTCAGATTCTCCGATTGCTCCGTTGCAGCTGGAGTCTCCTGTTGGGCAGTTTTTATCTCAAATCTTGATGAGTCATCCACATCTTGTGCCTGCTGCCGTTGAGCAGCAGCTTGAACAGCTTCAAACAGACCGTGATGCTGCTCAACAGCTTCAAACAGACTGTGATGCTGAGAAAAGTGAGGAACCTTCCGCTACGGGCACCGACTTAGCTTTGTACAGGTTTGTTCTTTATCTCACAGTTTAGATATTGTAAATATTGTTGTCAACTTACTGGAGCAGAAAAATTAATAATTGTTTTGATTGAAAATAAGGGGAAACAAGAAAGGACCACCAAGAGCCTTTATGTTTATGTCTCTACAAACTGTTTGTAGTATATGATTTCAGAAACCAGTTTTCACAAGTTTCCTGTCCAAAATGATAATGTAAAAACTAAGGTGGAAATGTCGTCATTTCTTGTTTCCTTAATTCAAGCTTGTTTCACGAAGATACTTCTGCTTAAATGTGTTGCTAAATGTCCTTTAGTGTGATATGTTTTGGGGGCGTTTATTTTTTCCCATTTTGATTGTAGTTTGCCCCCATAAGGAATCCCAATTGGGCCCCAAGTTTTCTCATTTTATTACGTATTAAACTGAGAAGTTCAGTTTTTCTCTCTACTACACCCTCTCAAAATATTTGTAGTTATTTTAGTTTTGTGTCTTTGTGGGTGTGTTTGTTCTTTGGATTTTTTGAAGCACTAGCAGACTCTGAACTTTTCAAGAAATGAATGTTTCGCTTCTAAACCTTTTTTTGGCTGTTCAGTTTTGAACCTAATAGTTTTGGTAATTTTGGTTTCTAGAGCTTAATTGGCAATAGATTTTGGAAAATTTAACGGTGGCGGTTAATTTGCCCATCGTGTAAAATCTTGAAACTTTTGAAAATAGTGAACTTCAATATGAATATTCTAATTTTTAAGCGTTTTCAGGGAAACCGAAAACATTTTTTTACCGCGCGTGTGTGTGTTTATATTATTATTAATAATTATTTTATTTTATTTGGGTAAATTTCGTGTTGTCAATATAGAAAATCTAGACGGAGAAGAGCATTGATCCTTGAAGCTTTTTTCTGATGTTGTAGGAGAATTGCTGAGGTGAAGGCTAATGAAAGGAGAAAGGCTCTGGAAGAAATTTTGTACGCCTTGGTTGTGCAGAAATTCATGGATGCCAATGTGTCTTTGGTACCATCCATTGAAACCTCAGCATCAGATCCTTCTGGCTGTGTTGATTCATGGCCAAGTCAGGATGAAAAACTTGAGCAGCTTCACTCACCTGAAGCCTATGAAATGATCCAGAATCATTTAGCTCTCATCTTGGGAAACCGTTTGGGCGACTCAACTTCTGTTGCACAGATAAGCAAACTCAGGGTTGGGCAGGTTTATGCAGCATCTGTGATGTATGGGTACTTCCTCAAGCGGGTTGACCAAAGGTTTCAACTTGAGAAGACGATGAAGATCCTTCCAAACACATTGGATGGTGATGACACGAACGTTCAGCAAGCTGTGGGAGACGACAGTAGGCCCCTTGGTGGAGGGGAGTCTTTCCAAGCAGCACCTTCACATCCTGAAGTTTCTTCCTGGGCTGGGGGCACGAGTCCTGGGGGTTTTGGTCATGGTATGAAGCCTTCCCGACTACGGACCTATGTTATGTCCTTCGATGGGGAGACCCTTCAGAGATATGCGACCATAAGATCCAAGGAGGCGGTCAGCATCATCGAGAAGCACACGGAGGCACTGTTTGGAAGACCAGAGATTGTCATAACGCCTCAGGGAACTGTTGATTCTTCAAAAGATGAGCTCATCAAGATTAGTTTTGCTGGTCTGAAGAGGCTTGTCTTGGAAGCTGTGACATTTGGTTCTTTCCTTTGGGACGTGGAGAGCTACGTGGATGCGAGGTACCATTTCGTGTTGAATTGACTGTGTACGCTTATATTCCTACCTTAGAAGTTTAAGGTACACCACTCAAAATTATATGAGAATGAGATAGTGGAGTGTAAATTTTGTAATGATACCCAGTCATTTCGTGCTAACTGTTATGTAAATAGAGAATTTCTTTCTAATTTCTAGTGAGGATTTAATATAATTAAGTTTGGAATATTAAATATGTGAAAACTTTGTTCAAGATTTCGTTTAATTGAGTTATTTCCATTCTCGCTTTACGTTGTTGCTGACAGTAAAAGTTTTTATGTATGGATATCCCGCTGCTGAATGCTATCTTGAAATAAGGAAGTGGACTAGTGAAAATGGTTCATTATTTTTATTCGAGCTGAGACGTGATATTTTATGAGAATTTTTTACTGTAGCAGAAAAAATTAGATGTGATTTTTTTTGAGAGTTTTTTACTGTAAAAATTTAGAACTGAAAACTCAAATCCGCAAAGTGAACGAGATCTTAATTTTTTAAGTTCTAGGTTTCCAAGTCCTGGGCTTACCAAAAGTAACATGGGGCTAAGCCATAATCAATTTGTACACGTTTAGAACGTACAACTTTAAGAAGGGACAACTTTGTTGGTGTCAGCATCAGTTTTGTGTTTTGTTGGACTTTTCTGAACTCGGCGTATACAGACTACGCCTCCTTTAAAACAGCAGCCGGTGATTCATAAACGTTGGTTGGATTGGATGGTTGTTTAGGGAACGTTTACTTTTTTCGATCAATTTCATAAACGTTCTTTAAACTTTGTACGATGTTTCAATATGCTTCTGAATTTATAAAAAGAGATTTATTTTACCTCCTGAATTGTGTAACCTAGTTGAAAAATACCATATATATATATATATATATATAAACTAACACCATGATCTGATATTACTTAATACTTTAATAAATGCCTCTGAAATTATTAATTCCTGAATTATGCGTCTTAGTTCAAAATGCACTTACATTTATAAAACTAACAAAATAAATAATGTGACACTACTTTTTAAAACTAATTGGAGTGGAGAAACTTTCATGAAATTGAAACTATTGGAAATAAGCTTCAAAGGTAATTTCAAAACAACTTAAGCTTGGATTGAGAGGATGTTCGAATTAGGATAGATACCTTACCCTATTCTTAGAATAAAACACTGGCTTGAGATATGGAGACATTATCTGGTATCTTATAATGGGAACGAATTCCTTGAAAGTAACTTTTGTTTCCTTGCAAATATATGATTTAAAGATAATCTGTCAAAAAATCAAGAAGGGAAGACCTACACATAAGTGGGAAACATGAAATCGAATTGAACTTAGAAAACGAAAGAGTGAGTGTCAAATGGCAAACCATAAGTAAAAATTTGTTTTCCTAATAAATTTTTAAAGTAAATCTTTGTTATACTTTGTTAAATTTATAGAAAACGGTTCATTTTTTTTTTTTTTTTGGGGCTGGGGCTGTTGTCTACAACCCTTGAACCTTTTACCTTGCAATACACTTAACCACTATGACACAGAGGGTTGTATAGGAAAAGGGGGTTGATGTGAAGATGAATGTTGACCGTAAGATTACCATGTCATTCAGAATGTTGTCGTGGAAAAAAAAAACAATTAATTAACCAAAAACAAAACACAAGCAAATACAAGACGACGTTGTGCAAGTTTACAAAGACGAAACGTAGAAAGAAAACAAAATGATAAAATGCTTACCAGAACAACATAAAACAGAATGCAATAAACGTAATAACTTTGAATTTACCACACAAATAGTTAAAGCACGTTACAGTTGATTATCTGAACAAGATCAATCCACTATAAGTCTATGGCCGGGAATAAATTCATGGTAACTGATCCCCCCACATTGCAGACTAATAAACATGGTAGTTTTGGGATACAGGGTCCGTTTAGTTCACTGATTCAAATTTTTAATTCAAGTTGAGATGTGACTTTATGTGAAAACTTTTTACTGTAGCAAAAAAAGTTAGATGTGACTGTTTCTGAGAACTTTTTACTGTAGCAAAACTCAAATTCTAAACTCGAATCGGTAAAATGAACTTTTCGGTGACTTCATGAGAATTGATAAGAATTTACTTTGAGGTTTTTTCCAGATATTGAGTCCAATTAAGTGAAGTATTCATTGTTCTATCGTATTTGCAATTTTCGACCACAACAGGTGCAAATAAGAAGCCACTAATCTATTGAATACCGTAGGATTTGGTATAATTCCGAAGGTAACATAGGATTTGGTATAATTCCCAGTACCCTACATAAGTGTTTTTTTTTTTTTTTTTTTTTTCTTTTCTTTATTTGAAAATTTCATCATTGTCTGTTACATGTGGTATATAATCATGGAAAAAACATATATATGTACAATAACTACACAGCCGAAAAAATTAAAACGTAGTTTAGGATTCTAATCGTTTGACCTCTAGCTGTTTGAGCCATAGTTTACTTGTGAATTGGGTTACAGTTGGCACAAGAGGTAGACAACTTCGGTTTGTTAGACCATGGCCTAATGTAGGACATTACTAATCAAACTGTCAGTTATCATAATTCAAGTATTAAGAACACAAATAATAAAGTGAAAAATTGATCTATTTCTTAAATCTATTGCATAAGAAAATCTATATTTGGACATAAAAACGACAACGTATAAATTCAATTATGAAAAACAACGGATATTTTGTTGACTAAGCTCACTCTTGCATTGTAGTATGGGCAGTACAAATAAAACCGGAATGAACACCACTTATAGTATGATAGTTGTTAGAAATCAATGATTTGGTGAAAATTATCACCAAAAAATTAAAAACATTCATGTTAAATCATCAAAAATTAATAAATCTGTAAGCGGAAACGTACCTGAATCCATATTAATTAATTTATCTCTAGAACCGTGCAGTTTGTCTTCCAAATCAACGTGTTTTCTTAGAGAACTCTTTTAGTTTCTCTATGTACTCTCTCTAATGATGAGATATCAGAAAGAATAGAATATAACGTGCGATCTGGAGACCATAACCGCTATATATAGATAACTTCCTTGTTATCTTTTGGTATTTCTATTTTAGCCCATCATAAAAACAGAAATTACCCTTTAAGTCTCTACACATTAAAGGCCCATACCATATTAGATACATTAAAACCCAAATTACCCAAACCTTAGTAGACCACTTTAAATGGGCTTAAATTTATATGACAGTTTACAACACATAATTATTCACATATAAGCTCAACGTTGGATTTATAATCCAACAATAGTATCTTCATCTTTGCCTTATCGATCAATAAAAGGTCTTCATCTTCATTTTCTTAATTCATTTACTTCATAGAAACTTCTATAACTATGTTTTTTTCTGCGTTTCATTGACTTTCTAGAATTACTTGTGGATATTTTTATTAATTTTCTTAGGCCTCGTTCTTTTTCATAACTCAAGTCACAACTCAATTAGTTTTATTATTACAGTGTTTTTCATAAAAAATTTAAATTTAACATTTTTATTATTTTTCTTTCACATATACAACTCAAGTTCTTAACTTGAGTTGTGAAACAAACACACCCTTAATTCTTTAATAATTCCAAGCTTGGAAGGAACATTTGTTAAGTATTTGTAAAACACGAAAGCCAAATTCTGACCAAGTTTGCATCTGATTAGATATTCACACATCTATAACAATGCTACTTTTAGGAGTTGCATATATAGTTTTTTAGTCCAAGACTCCAATGACCACAAAAACAAATTATGTTTGAGTCCGCGTAAATAAAGAATAAAAAAGTATATAACTTAACTTCATTGAGTTACTTAAAACGTGTATAATTATTGCCAACAACTGTTATGTCAAATGACATGTAATTAATCAACATCACCGTATTTGGTTTTATGCGTTTTAAACAAAACATATATATATATTATGCATGCACAGCAATATCTTTCTAAGGTAGCTGGCAATAGCATATACGTCGGCCTAAAGGCAAGCAATGTCCTGTAATTGTATTTGGATACCTTCTCAGGCACCTTATCGGACATTGATTGTCATCTTCACAGGATCTTGGATCAGCCATAGGAACTAGTTTCGGCACTTCTGTGATTGAAAAATTAGAAAAAATAATAATAATAATTGCAATTATTCGAACAAAAAGTAATATATTTTTAACTTTAGTGTTAATTTCACGAATGGTTTTTGTTTTTGAGGTTTACACTCAATCTGACTTTAATTTATGACTTTTCAAATATCGCACGGATGGTCTTTGAGGTTTCATTTTGTTTCAGTTTTGGTCATTCTGTCAATTATGCATTAGAACTTAATGGAATGTGTATAAATTAGAGTTCAAAATTAAAAACGGCTAAAATTTTAGGTCTATTTGTGGAAACTAACCTTTAGTTTTTGTATTGTTTTACTTTAAATTTTGGATTATTTACAAAAATCCTCCTGAACTATAACCCTTATAACAATTTATCTCTTAATCTTTAAAACGTAACATCGGTTCGCTTTAATCTATGATACATTAACTAATAAACTCTTAATCGTAGTTTTTCTAACAGAAATGACAGGTGTCATCCAAAGGCTAAAGGTTGCTGATCAATTTAATGTATAATTACTTTTTTACCCCATTATATTTGTATTTTTTCTTAATAAATACCTATTTATTATTTACTGGGTAAAAAAAAAATTACAATTATAGTTCGGAAATAGACTTTTTTTTTTTTCAAAATCTTGTTTGGGTGGGTTGGTTCTCAGATTAAGATTTAAAAAAAAAAAAACTGAGAGAGAAAAGAAAACTTCCCAAGCCACACGACGCCATAGAAATGTCATTCTTGGCAAATGCTTCATCAACCTTAACTTATAGCAAAAATCCCCTTTCAAACTGAAATTTTTTACTCCTTACTTCTTACTTTTAATAAATACGATTTTATTAATGTAATTATTTGATTAAAAATATTATGAATTAAAAGTAAAAAATAAAAATCTTAACCTATATATTTTTAAGAGGTATTTATCAAAAGTACCTTATAATGAGAAAAGTAAGTTACCAAGGGTAGAGAATCAAGTTTAATTATTTCGAGTTTACAATTATTTTTCTTATTTTATTTTTATGGTATAGCGAGTGCAGTTCATCCCATCTTTTATGCTTCAATTAAAATTGTTGTTCACTTAGACGAAATTAACTAACCTAGCTAAGAAAATAAAATGATAGTTATTTGACAACAGTGTCGTAATATTAACTAATCTTGCTATTGCTGTGTTG